CTCTCTCTCTCTCTCTCTCTCTCTCTCTCTCTTTCTCTCTTTCTCTTTTTTTGCCCTCCCTCTCTCTTTCTCTCTTTCGCTCGCGCGCTCTCTCCCACTCTCACCCTCCCTCCTTCCCTCCCTCCCTCTCGCTCTCCCTCCCTCTCCCACTCTCTCCCTCCCTCCCCCCTCTCGCTCTCCCTCCCCCTCTCCCTCCCCCCCTCTCCCTCCCCTCTGCCCTCTCGCTCTCCCTCCCCCTCTCGCTCTCCCTCCCCCTCCCCCTCCCCCTCCCCCTCTCGCTCTCCCTTCTTTAGAGCACCCTCCCCATCACGTATCATCGCATTCCCCTGCCGCATGGTCGGACCCCGAGCCCGGCCGAGTATGATGCTCTGCTGCAGGCCATTCAGTGCGGGTATCAGCCGATGACGCCAACGGCGTCCGGCGCCCCGGCGCTCCCGCCCCGGCCCGTGGTCTTCAACTGCCAAATGGGCCGCGCCCGGTCGACCCTGGCCTGTGTCATCTCTCGATTGATCCGTGACTCGTGCGATCCGACCATGGCTCAGCGCTCTGACGACCTGTCCTACGGTACGGCGTTGCCCGTTCTGCCGGCATCTGTTTGTCTGTTCGCCTGTCTCGGTCTCGGTTTGCTTGTATCTGTCTGCCTGGAGGCGGGGCATGGGGATAGTCTGTATCCCTTCCCTAAGCTCATCTCTCTCTCTCTCTCTCTCTCTCTCTCTCTCTCTCTCGCGCGCGCGCGCGCGTGTACCCCCTGCTGCCCCGGCTGACGCTGTATCTTTATCCGCTCCACCCCCGGCCACTGGGCATAGCCATCCCCGAGAAGCAATTCCCCCTGATCCTGGCGCTGGTCCGGGCGGCCGGCGGTCTCGGGCTCCTGGCCCAAGCCCACGTGGACCGTGCCATTGATGATGCGGCTTCCTGCGGGGGATTCCACATCCGCAGCGCCATCCGCGATCTGGCCCAGCGCGCGGCCAACATCCTGTCCCTGCAGACCGAGCAGCTGGCGGAGCTCCCGGCCACCGGTGGTCTGCCTCAGGCATCAGGCCGCATCAAGGGCCTGCAGCAGACGTACCAACGGGCCACAAGTGCAGCCATCTCGGCCCTTGTCCGGTACTACAACCTGATTGTCTTCGAGGTGTATCTGCTGGATTGCCAGCTCCGCCGGCGGAAGGGCGGCCCCCGGGCCGAATCGCCAGTGGACCAAAGCCCGGGGCCGCTTGACTCGAGCGGTCTGCCTGACGGGACCACCGTGCCCACCTTCTCCGAGTGGACTGCCAGCCATCCGGAGTTTGCGGCTTTGGTGCGCCGATCTCCCCCCTCCCCCCCCACCCCCCCCACAGCCCCCCTTTTCTCTGGGGTCCTGCTTGATCAGCCAGCCTCCTCCCTCGACCCTCCGTCTCTCCCATTCGCTGTGATTGACACCTGCTCCTTGCCACCTGCTCCTTGCTACTGGCGGCCTGTCTGAATGCGCTGGCGCTTGCCCGTTCAGCTTGAGGGCATTTACGAAGAAAGCAATGCCGCGGACAGCGTGCTCACCCCGCTGGCCGCTTACAATGCCGAGGAGTCTGCCCTGTCTACCTCCTCCCTGCCGGATCCCGAGATGAAGGAGCCAGTTAACCAGCGTCGCTTTGGCTCCGGTGCGTAGTTGTCCATCCCCTGCCCGATTTTTCCGTCCTCCTCCCCCCTCTCCCGGTGCTGCGACCTGCCCACTCCCAGGGGCATACATGAATGCCCTTTTCTTCCGCCGTTGGATATCCTTGCAAAGCCCGGTGGCACTGACTTGCCTCTCTTTCCCGCCCGCCCTCCCTCTCCCTCTCCCTCTCCCTCTCTCTCTCTCTCTCTCTCTCTCGCTCTCCCCGTGGACGTCCGCAGTCCTCAGCGCACAGACCATCCTCAAGTCCGACCACTTCTCCGGCTGCCATCGCCTCCCCCCCTCGATGCCGCGCATCGACGGCGTGCCGAACTTCCGCAAGGTCGTCGTCACCGGGCGCCTCGGCGGCAGCACCGCCTTCCACCTGCAGGCCACCGATGTCACGGGCACCGGGATGCCCACCCGGGAGGCCATCGGTCGAACCCTGGAGCAGCTGCTCCTCGGGCCGGACGGCACCGCGACCACCCCCTCCGAGCGGGTGTCCCTCATTTGGACCAACATGCGCGAGGAGCCGGTGGTTTATGTCCGCGGGCAGCCCTTTGCCCTGCGCACGCACGACCGCCTGACGGCCAATGTCCTGACGGCCGGCATGTCGACCGAGCGTGTTGAGGTACCTCTCCCTGCTTCTTCCCCGGGCATGTTGCCCGCCTCTGCCGTGAACCCCGCACACTGTTGCTGACCATGCCCCGCTCGCGGATCGCCGCAATTGGCTCAACCCTCCGCGTCCTTGCCTCCCTCAAAGCGCATGGAGGAGTGCATGAAGCTGGATATCCTGCGCGAGCTGGAGTCCAATGCCGAGAACAATTCCAGCGAGCGCGGTGGCTCGCTGCTGCTCATCCACGACGAAGACCCCGGCACCATGCAGACCATTGCCCGGTGGGAGCTGGGCGTTCGTGCCGAGGACATCCGCACCACGAGCGAGGTGTTTGATGAAGCCTTCCGGGACTTTGCGGCCCAGTATCCGAATGTGGTGAAGGTGGACTTCCTCCGACTCCCTGTGTGCGTGGGCCATGTTGGTTTGCCTGCCCCGGGGGCCAGGCGCTGCCATGCTGCCCCTCGGTCTTTTTTTTTTCTTCTTTTTCCCGCCCACTCACTCCTGCATCGCCCAATGTGCGCACCCCGCGCCTCCGTCTCCCTCTCGCTCCCTCTCCCCTTCGCCGCCCGAAAACCCAGCACCGATGAGCAGGCGCCGATGCCGCACGTATTTGACATGCTCTTCGAGCGTGTCATCTCCCAGCAGCTGGATAGCCTGGAGTTGGGCACCCATCGCGATGAATTCATCTTCAACTGCCAGATGGGCCGCGGCCGGACCACCACGGCCATGATCATCGCGGCCCTGACTCGCGGGTTCCTCCTGCGCTCGGCGTCCGTTGCTGGTGCCCTGCTGGCCGGGCAGGACCCGCAATCGGCCCGGGCCGAGGCGACCCCCTTCCCGGACGCCTCGACGGTCCCGCTGTCCATGGGCCCCGGACTCGGGCTGGAGGCCTCGGAGTCGGATCTGCTCAGCTCCACCGAGTCACGCCTGGACTCGATGGTCATCTCGCAGGCCGAGCGCGACCGGCGCTTCCAGGCCGGCGAGTACCTTGTGGTCATGGACCTGGTCCGGCTGCTGTATGGCGGCAAGACGGCCAAGCGCCTCACCGACCAGGCCATCGACTCCTTCTCTCATGTGCAAAATCTGCGCACCGTGCGTCTCCCTCCTGGCTGGGTCCTCTCCCGGGCGCCGGGGCCCAGGGGGGGCGGGGGGGGGGGGGGGGGGGGGGTTCATGTGTCCGATGCTCCTCTTTTGCATTTTTTTTTTGGCATGCTCCCTTGTCGCTAACCTGGCGGCCACTCACCTCCTCCGTCGGGCTTCTCTTTTTTTTTCTCGCCTCCCCCGCTTGGTCCTGCCTCCCTGCCGCGGGCCTTCTCCTCCCTTCGCCCTTTCTCCGCGCGCACCCGATGCCAGGCTATCCACCGACTCATTGAGGGCTACGAGCGTCTCAAGAGCAGCCCCGGCGCCGGGCACAAGCGCGCCGAGATCCACGAGGCCGAGCATGTCACCGTCAACTACCTTCACCGGTACTTCCTGCTCATCACCTTCAACTCGTACCTGCTGGAGCGCGAGCGCGACACCCTGAAGACCCTGACCTCGGAGGAGGGGGCGGCCCTGCTGGAGGCCGAGACCGACCGCACTCCCACCGGCCCGACCCTGGCACGCATCCTCCGTCGCGCGCATGCCCACTCCAACCGGAACTTCACCTCCTTCGACGTGTGGTACAACCAGCGCCCGGAGCTGCAGGCCGTCTTCCGTGACAAGGACAAGGACAACGATGCGGCCGATCTCTTCCGCATTTGAGCGCCCGTCGGCTTGGCTCTCCTGTCCCTCGCCCCGCGCGGCGCCCCCTGGCGGGCTCCCGTCTGCCGGCCCCGGCCTGCCAGCACGGGGACACTCTCCCAGATGTCTGTCTGCCGGCAAGCTCGCTGGACACCCGCGCACGGACACCCGCGCACCATGCTGGCATTTGCCTCCCTCCCTCCCTCCCTCTCTCTCTCTCGGCCCCCCCCCCCCCCCCCCCCCCCCCCCCCCCCCCCCCCTCCCCCCCCCCCCCCCCCCCCCCCCCCCCCCCCCCCCCCCCCCCCCCCCCCCCCCCCCCCCCCCCCCCCCCCCCCGGCCTTGCCCCCTTTTTGTGCCGTCCCCTCGCCCACAAAAGACGATCGCCCCCGCCGGGCGCCCTTGCGGACGCGGCCCGAAATACAACACATGCGCATCATTGGGTGGGATCTTTGGGTGGCATTCGGCCGCCTGCCTTCGACTCGGGCCATTCTATGTGAGGGTATTCAGCTGGCGGGAAAGCATCAGGCAGTAGGCCACAAGACTGGGCGGACGCGCCGGGCCCCGGGCCAGGCCGGCAATCTGATCGACCAGTGCCTCGACCTGCCGGCGGCGGATGGTCGGCCCGATGTACCGGGCCAGGCGGCCGACCACCGACGCCGGCAGGGCCAGGTCCGCTGCCGGGCTGCCAGCCGGCCCGGGGGCCGCCTTCACCTCGAGCATGATGTCGGCGCAGGTGCCGTCCACGCACACAAAGCGCAGGGTCAGGCGCGAGGTGTGCCCCGGGCTGTCAGGCCCGGCGATCGGGTGGTCCTCCGCCGACAGCAGGTGAAAGTACCGCGACAGGAGGCGGACTTGGGCCGGGACCGAGCGGGCCATGGCGCGCCGGTGGCGAGCCCGCGCCGCCGCCACCCGGGCCTCGGCCTGGCGAGTGGCCTCGGCCACCCGACCACGCAGGGCCCGCGCCCCGGCCAGGCGACCCCGCGTCAGGGCCACATCCTCGCGCGCGGCCACCAAATACTCGCGCGCATCCGACACCAGGGCCTGCAGCGACCGGGCGCGCATGCCGAGCCAGGCCTTGCGTGCGGCGATGCGCACCGTGTGCTTCCAGCGCTTCAGATGCGCGCGCAGAGCCGTCGACCGGAGGGCCTGCTCGCTGGTCTCCAAACTGCCGGGCCCGGGGGCCCCGGCCGCCGCCGGGGAGGTGAAGGTTTCCAGGAAGGCCGGCCGCTGGGACTCGATCAGCTCCGTGAGGGCCGCGCACTCGGACCGAAGTGCGGCAATCGTGGCGGCCAGCTCCTCCCCGAGGCGGCTGAGCGCGTCGGTTTCGCACGTGGCGGCCAGCACCTCGGCCGGGTCGTCGAGCAGCTCGACCGGCGTGAGCCGGGCTGCTCGCGGAGCAGAGGGCCGGGGGCCCGCAGGCCGGGAGTCCAAAGGAAGGTCAGGGGGAGGGCCAGCGAGAGAGAGAGAGAGAGGAAAGAGAGAGGGAGGGAGCAAAGGGGGGCAGCAGCTGGCCAGACGGGCTGGCAAGGATGGCACAAAGGGCCAGGGGGATGGCTCGCACCGGTGTGGACAATGCCAAGGTTCTCACGGCGGGGGTCTGTCCCGGCTCCCAGGCCGCCCATCTCGGCCGAGGCATGCGTGGCGCCGTCCATGAAGGCGATGTTGGCTGTGTGAAGGAATTCGGCCAGCGTGGTGGCCGGGGCCGGAGCGGGGCTGGCCGAGGCACCGGCCGTGGGCTCGGCACCGGCGGGGGCCCGGCCATTGGACGGGTCGGCGGGCTCGACGGCCTCGACCGGCTCGACCGGCTCAACTCGTTCAGCTGGCTCGAGGGAGCCGGTGAGCTCGGCGATTTCCGCGAGCCCCGGCGATGTGAGCGACTCGCCGGCCGAGAGCATGCTCGTGGCCCGGGTGCTGAGGCCTGGCGACTTGACCGGCGACCGAAGGGACACCGGCAGCGAGGGCCGCTCGCCCGGGGCGGTGCTCAGCCGCCGTGACAAGGTGGCCGGAGGCTCGGAGAACCGGCTGGCCCCGGCCCCGGTGGAATTGGCCAACGATAGAAGGGACACACTGCCGGACCCGGGTCCGGTGCCGACGCCGAAGGAGCTCGGCCCGGCCGAGGCAGAGGGCATCCCCCCGAGCGAGGGGATCCCCAGGCTCAAGCGCGTCAGCGACATGGACGAGGTGCCGGCCTTGCTGGCCACCCCGAGTGACGGCCGGCTGGACGCCGAAGCCAATGGCGCCGGGGGCAGGGGGAACCTTGGCGGCGGCGGCGGCGGCGGCGGCTCGGCTGCCTCAGGCTCGGACCCGGGGGCCGATCGGGGGGCCACCGCCGCCGGATGATGAAAGGTGTCGTCGGTTGCTGGCGGAACCACCACCGTCAGGGAGTGATCCTCGCCCAGGGGGGCTGGCCGGTGCAGGGACTGCCGGCGTGCAGCCATCGATGCGGCCAGGGTACCGGGCCCGGCCCCGGGCAGGGCAGTCGGCCCGTCGGCCATGGCATCCGCCGCCGGGTCCAGGCCGCCGGAGCTCAACCGGCGGAGACTTTGCCCCGGTGCGAAGCCCTGGCCACTGGCACCGAGTGCCGCCGGTGCTGGCGGACGGACCGACCCGGACAGGGATGCCGAGGATGACGACCGGGCCAAAGACGCACGAGCAGGGTGCTGCTCGGATGCCATGTCGTCCACCGGCCGGGCGGAGGCAGGCCCGCCCGGGGGCAGCTGCGAAATGCCGAAGCTCGCGGCAAGGCGCGGCGGCGCGCTCACGCCCGAGCTGGACTGCGATGCCCCGAGGCCGGACATCGAGGCACCGAGCGCGGCCCGGCTGGAAGATGCGCCGAGCGGGTGGGCAATGGATCCACGCGGCCGGGGGGCGCTGGCCGCCGGCGGG